TTTAAATGTTAAAAATTTCAAGATAAATAATTTTGTAGAAACGATTTTATCGTTTATTAAGCTTAAGTAACTATTAACTATATACCTGTCTCTTTCTATTGTTATTTAGTGAAGAAAGAGCGAATACCTTAAAGCATTTTTAAGATGACTCGAATTTTATGAATAAAGCCGTTAGTTGTAAATAACTGATTTGTGTTGGGATTTTTTCGCGCTTTTATAGACAATTTTATTTCCTCATTTCACCTTTGAAAATTCTTAAAACTTGATTTTTTTTATTAAACAAAACGACATATTTTTTAATGTATATTATACAATGGTACTAATTTAAAAATCACAAACTGTGCATATCGAATAATGTAGCACCTTTTGATTGCTCGAGTACAGATACGGGTAGACCTGGTAGTTCCAGGTCTGTGTGTCCTGCATCTTCCTGCGTCTCTCTTCATTGGCGGCCCTCACTTGCTGTATGTAGTTCAGGGTTAGCTGCTTCTTCCTCTGGTTATTATTAACAATTTATGCCACGTATTACTTTTTATATTATTAAATTTAGACTTATATATATAGAGTGTTTAATTTTGATACAAAATTAATAATAAAAATGCGCTTTAACAATGCAACTAAAAATTTAACAAATTTGATTTTGAAGTGATAAATTACTTTAAAAAATCATTCTCTCAAAATGCCTTATTTATATTTTTAGTATGTACAAAAAAATTACCGATTTTTAATGGAACAATAAGATTCGTATAAGAAACGGATTGCCCTATCAGGAAGGGTGTGCACAGAAGGGCAATAAATTTGAAGGCTCCGTGGCGCAGTGCCTTAGCAATGAGTTGCTGCGCTGGGAGCGCGGGTTCGAATCCCGCACGGAACAAGTATTTGTATGGCGTACAAATAATTGTTCCGGGTCTGGATGTTTGTCCTTGTGAAATTTATGTATGTAAACTACCTCCACGATACAGGAGAAAATCCTAGTGTGGGGGTAACGCTTTTTAAAAAAAATTATAAAAAACATAACATAATAAATAAACAAAAACCGATTAAAATAAAATAAAAAAATAAAATTATATTCACATAATTATTAGCTTGTGGAGTCGGACTTTTACCTTATGCCTTTGACACTTTTGAATGGCTTAAAAGTAGTATTATTTTCCTTAACAAAATTTCATTAAATTGATTCAACTAGATAACATGTTATTTGCAACCAATGATAAATATATAAGTTTTCAAAGTTTTTTCTAAATTTCTTTTATAATTACACTAAGTCTCACCGGCGGAAAAACCTCTGTGAGGGTCAGATAGTGGAGTCGTAATGTTTATTGTTTTTTATTTAATGACATTTCATTGTATAAAACAACTTTATAAAAAAATATTACAAAGGAAAGTCTTAATGATTTTTGACCATCACTCACAGTCAACTGAATGTAAAAATAATGAGATAGGTGCCAAAAAATAACATCATAGTTACATTATTATTAATGTTGACACATAAGTAAAAACACAATAATACGCAGATAATATATAAATACCAAAATAATTTCTTTTTTTTTAAATTACGTAGTCGTTTTTTTATACAACCTGTATATTATGTGATAAGTAAATTTTAATATTTTTGTTAATGTACAGATTAGTGCAATGTTGCTATAAATACACATCCTGTTACAACAAGTTTGTATTAATTTTATTAATCATTCGTGATAATTATGTATTTGTGCATGAATGTTTTAGAGTGCGTGCTTTTTATATGTGACATTGAAAATGGCGGCAAAATGAATTAGTCTGGCATACCTAATTGACAGCTATGTTTATGAATTCAGTTTTTTTTTATATTAAAAAATATTATTCAAATTGTATAAATGAGGTTAAATTCACTGAGAATATATTAAACCTCTATTACTCACAGTCTATTTTGTGGTATTACCCGGCAAAGTAATGAACGACGTACGATGAAAAACCTACAATGAGTAGGCTAGACTTATGTACGTCAAAGTTGACATGAGGGATGTTTAGCAAGATAGACCGTATGCAATGCCTTCAAAAGACCCTAGACGGTGTAGCATGAAAGATATTTGAATAATCATGCTGCACGACGAAACTTCATGTATTATTTTATTGCATTTCAGTACAGCTTGTAAAACAGAGATCAATATATAATATATCTATGCTCGAGATATGGAATTATTGTTTCTTAAAGTTTTAAGTGACAATGTCATGGGCAAATTAATTTTTTTCTGTTTTTACATTGTATATGATATTAGAGGTATCTGAACTAAATGGTACAAATATCAGTCTCTGAGAGATGACTACATATTTATGCCATTTGCTGTAGGGACTATTGGCCCGCGGGGTCCACGTGCGGTGGAGTTCCTAAAGGGTTTGTATCCACGACTGGTTGTCGCAGTTGCTGATAAGAGGGTTGGTTCTTCTCTCGCTCAAGCGTTAAGTGTAGCCATTCAGCGAGGAAACGCAGTCAGCATTCTTGGCACGATACCACAGGGAGTAGGACTTTACAATAATTATAATTTAAATTTTTAGATTTAAATTTTTGGAACGAAGTTCTTTATCGGACGGTACGGATTTGGCCGATGGGGGCTAGGCGAGAAAAGTGTAAGATTTTTTCGTCACGACCCGTGTCGACAGCCTTGGCGGCTGTAAAGAAGGGAGATGGATTAGTATCCATCTCCCTCGCACTTTTCTTATCTTGCTATGAAAATAATATTATTTTATTTTAAATGACGCTTCATTTTAATAGACGCTAGTAATTCATTTATTTGTATTTATTAATCAATAATATAATACTTACGTTTATCAATACGACACTCACGCTTTCTTTTTAATTATGGCAATAAATATTGTATATTTTAATGCTATGTAAACACATGTATTTAATAATTAAAAAATATATGTTATTATTTAATTTATTTATCTTTATCCCGTCCAACTATAGGCCTATCGCGATCACCTACTTGTTCTCCAAAATAATGGAATCCATTATTAACTGCCAGCTCATGCGGTACCTTGAGGGTCACCAGCTGATTAGTGACCGCCAATACGGTTTTCGTCGGTGTCGATCAGCTGGTGATCTTCTGGTCTACCTGACCCATAGATGGGCGGAGGCAGTAGAGTCCAAGGGGGAGGCGTTGGCCGTTAGTCTGGACATTGCGAAGGCCTTTGATCGGGTTTGGCACAAAGCGCTTCTTTCAAAGCTGCCTTCCTATGGGCTTCCCGAGAAATTGTGCAATTGGATCACCAGCTTTCTTGCAGATCGGAGCATCAAGGTCGTTGTGGACGGTGCATGTTCTGACTACAAGCCTATTAACGCTGGTGTTCCACAAGGCTGTGTGCTATCACCAACGCTGTTTCTTCTGCATATCAATGATATGTTGCTAACTGGTAACATTCATTGCTATGCGGATGACAGCACTGGTGATGCTCTATACACCGGCCGGGCCAATATTTCTCGGGAAAACGTCGCCGAGTACCGGAACAAACTTGTGTCTGAAGTCGAGTCTTTGCTGGACAAAGTCTCGGATTGGGGGCGACTAAATCTAGTCCAGTTTAATCCTCAGAAGACACAAGTTTGCGCGTTTACCGCTAAAAAGAACCCCTTTGTCGTATCTCCTCAGTTTCAAGGCACTCCCCTTCTTGCCTCAGCCAGTATCGGTATCCTCGGAGTCGACATATCGAGTGACGTGCAGTTTCGTGGTCACTTGGAAGAGAAGGCCAAATTGGCCTCTAAAAAGCTTGGCGTGCTCAGCAGAGCGGGACAGTATTTCATGCCGGCACACCGCCTGCAACTTTACAAGGCGCAGGTTCGGCCTCACATGGAATACTGTTCCCATCTCTGGGCAGGGGCTCCCCAGTGCCAGCTCCTTCCACTTGACCGCATCTAGCGCAGAGCGGCTCGAATCGTCGACGACCGAGCCCTTTCCGATCGGCTCGATTCATTGGCACTGCGAAGAGATGTTGCATCTCTTTGCATTTTCTTTCGCATCTACCATGGGGAGTGCTCTGAGGAATTGTTCGGATTAATCCCAGCCGCCAAATTTCACGAACGCACATCGCGGCAGAACTCCCGATACCATCCACACCATCTGGATGATTGGCGGTCCACCACTGTGCGATTTAGAAGATGTTTTCTTCCTCGCACAACTTCCTTGTGGAATAGTTTACCACCAGGGATTTTTCCGGACCGATACGACTTAGGGACCTTCAAGAAAAGAGCCTACTCCTTTTTAAAAGGCCGGCAACGCATCTGCAATTCCCCTGGTGTTGCGGTTGTTCATGGGCGGCGGTAGTCACTTACCATCAGGTGAGCCGCATGCTCGTTTGCCCCCTCTCCTATAAAAAAAAAAAAAAATAATTATTATGTACGTGTGTTTGTCACTGTACCTACTGCTAAACGGCTCGATGTGTTTTGATGTTTTTTTTTGTGTATCTGAGTGGGTCTCTTGGTGGTTTAGATTCACAATTGGACCCGGTAGTTGTATCGTATTGTGTTGTATTGTAGTAGTTGAATCGGGGCGGATCGTTACAAGTTTATATATTATGGTTTTGGTCTATAACTATAATCATTTTTAAAACGACCGTAAGATAAATGCAGTTTTTGTATTATAAGTCCGTCTAATATAAAAAAAAAACATATTTTTATAATAAATACACAGGTACCAGAAACAATTTAGTTGTGGCAGGATCATAGACTACTCAGTGCCGATCTTTTAATCCTCTGTTAAAATTTATTCATAGAACAAAATGCAACATAAAAAAATTGAAAATTACAGTTACAAATAAATAAAAAAAATTCAATTACTTCACTTTTATATTCAGTGAAGCTATAATTTATTAGACGGCTAACTGTTGATTATTGAAAAATCGGCTCTTACTAGCTTACAAGGTAGTATGTCAAAGACCAGTATACTTAAGAATTAAAATGACTTATCCGACATATAAATATACATTAAAAATGTGTCTTCAAATCGTAGATTGAGTGTGCATTTTACCTTATCTGCTGTTGTGTGGTATTGATAGGTTTTCAAATAGGTCCCAAGGCAAAGTATTTCACACTGTGGACAGCTTTTGTCAGCTGTAGCACGGAGAAGATGCAGCATGTGGATGAAATCGTCGGCTACGTAGTGGTCTTCCTCTAAGAATACCACCATTCCTGGGGATTGGAGGAAAATTCAAAACTTGGATCGAGAGTAATACAATCGGATAAGTGCGAGTAGGACCCGCGTTCGAGGGTCCCGTATAAAATTAATTGACTTTTATAGGTAAGGGTGACAAACGAGCACACAGCCCACCTAATGGTAAGTGGTTGCTGTGGCCAACAGACATCTACATCTATCCTCGTTTGCGAATCAAAATGCAGATGTGTTGTCACCCGTGAGGACTAAGATGGAATGCCTCTTTTCCAGTAAAAAGGGTCTCCGGTCCCCTACACTCACCATACGAAACACAGCAGTGTTAAGCTGCTATTTTACCGAGCCGACCCATTCGTGCTACAACTATACTGCTAATATAGCTGCGGCATGGCTCTACCACGTATAAAAACCTAGATGGAATGCCTCGTAACCAGTAAAAAGCGTTTCCGGTTCTCGTCACTCACCATACGTAACAGCATAAATCTGCTATTATGCGATATTTTTACGAATCTTTTTGATAAAATCTAATGCAATAACGATTCGTTCAAATAATAATCATCAATTTGTCGTAACGAATCGTTTACTAGGATACGTAAACAGATCGTAAGTAATTCAATGCAGATGACAAGTACCAGGCGATCATAAATCGACAAGAGCACTAACCTGTATGACTGGCAGTGACGACAACGCGCGACCTCATACTGCACAACAGACGGTCTCCAAATTACAAGAGTTGGGTTTGGAAGCTCTCCGTCACCCGCCGTACTCACCAGACCTTGCGCCTATAGATTTCTCTTTTTTCCAGAGTTATCATTAGTTATTATTTTATCAGTGGCACTGCAGTTGAAGTGTAGATGCCGGACCGTAAGTAATTCAATGCAGATGACAAGTACCAGGCGATCATAAATCGACAAGAGCACTAACCTGTATGACTGGCAGTGGCACTGCAGTTGAAGTGTAGGTGTATCGGACCGTAAGTAATTCAATGCAGATGACAAGTACCAGGCGATCATAAATCGACAAGAACAACCTGTATGACTGGCAGTGGCACTGCAGTTGAAGTGACGGTACCGACCGCACCGTAAGTAATTTAATGCAGATGACAAGTACCAGGCGATCATAAATCGACAAGAGCACTAACCTGTATGACTGGCAGTGACGACAACGCGCGACCTCATACTGCACAACAGACGGTCTCCAAATTACAAGAGTTGGGTTTGGAAGCTCTCCGTCACCCGCCGTACTCACCAGACCTTGCGCCTATAGATTTCTCTTTTTTCCAGAGTTATCATTAGTTATTATTTTATCAGTGGCACTGCAGTTGAAGTGTAGATGCCGGACCGTAAGTAATTCAATGCAGATGACAAGTACCAGGCGATCATAAATCGACAAGAGCACTAACCTGTATGACTGGCAGTGGCACTGCAGTTGAAGTGTAGGTGTATCGGACCGTAAGTAATTCAATGCAGATGACAAGTACCAGGCGATCATAAATCGACAAGAACAACCTGTATGACTGGCAGTGGCACTGCAGTTGAAGTGAAGGTACCGACCGCACCGTAAGTAATTTAATGCAGATGACAAGTACCAGGCGATCATAAATCCACAAGAGCACTAACCTGTATGACCGGCAGTGCACTGCAGTTGGTTGAAGATCCTGTTGGCCTTCCACCACCAGTGGTGCTTGGTCTGTGTGTACTTCGCCTCGCGGTAATGACCGTGAAGGTCTGGATGGAGAGCGTTGTTGCATTTTAACTTCTTTGCCCTGGAAATAAAGTCAGGTGGTTTAAGAGACAGCCTAGATAAACGCCCGGAAAATCTTGTGGCTCCCAGATGATAGAAGAGTAATCATCCCTGTATTTAAAAAAAAAAAGGATGACATACGAGCATACCTGCTGATAGTAAGTGTAGCGGCTAAAGCATCGAGATCAAAGACATTTATGTAATTGACGGACACTACGGTACTAATACATTCTCCGTAACTTCTTTAATCAACTGCGAGCAGCTGAGAAGACTAGTTCAGAATAAGAAATGTATAGCTTCAGGTGGTGGCGTTAGTGGCTGTCGCGTGTACGGCCATCCGGTGGGTAAAATGCAAAAACGCGCGTGCGCGTAGTTAGTTATTAAGCCCATAAATCACATTAAATTTGGGATAATTTAAAATAAAATTAGAAGCCTTATTTACTCGTATTTTCAATCACTGTACATAATAACGGTATATCATTATTCATATATTTGAACTTGAGTTTAAAATTTGGATACTCTTTGATAAATAACCCTGTATAAGCGAAGTACTTCTGACTCGAGATCTCCAAAACTATACGCCCGATTGACTTGCGATTTGGCATTTATAATCCTTTCTCCACGTAGACTACCAAAAATAAAGGATTTTTGAAAATTCAACATCTGAGGGGGTGAAATAGGAGTAACACCCTAGCTTGCATATAAATACTTGAAGGGAAAACTTTATACCCTTTTTAAAGCATATAAGGCACGGAGGGGTGTGAGATTTGGCATTGTTACGGAGTGCAGGAAGCAAATTTTTTTATATACTAGGTGGTACAAATACATTAAATAAAAAGTAAAACAAAACATTCATTGTTTACGTTCATACTGCAAATATCAATTGTCAAGCGCATAATAATCTATGGTCAAACACTCGCACAGAGTAGAGATTGTCGCCAAGGAATTTGAAAACAGGCTCAGAAGGGCTAGAACCCAGAGCCGTAAAGCCAGTTTAAAAAAAAAAGGAATTTGAAAATGTTGTCAACAAAATAATTACCTACTAACAAATTGATTAAATATGCTGTGAATATTGTGTGATTTTCAATGTTTTTTTTTTAATAGTCTATAGAGTGAATAAGTAAGTAAGGCAAAAAAAAGGTTTTAAATTTTATATATTACATATTTGTGCTTTATATATTAATGTACAGTGAAAGCATAGATAATAGAAATACTCGTATACTGAAAGTAGAAAGTGAAGTACAGCTTGCTTAAAATGCAATCTTAAAAATTTAATGAAATACGGTCTAATTTCGATCAGATACGATCTAATATCGGCCGGATACGATCTAATATCGCCGGATACGATCTAATATCGATCATATACGATCTAATATTGGCCGGATACGATTTAATTTCGACTGGATACAATCTAATTTCGGATTTACTGTATGATTACCAGTAATATATTAAAAGACAAAAGCACCTACTGTTCAAGCCGCGCGTCCCTGGGGCAATCGTTCGGGTCAACTCCGGGGAACTCGTAGGGATGAGTCTGGATGGAGTATGGATAGAAGATTTGCATCACCTGGAAATAGTATATAACAGTATAATTAGTATAATAAACATATTATTACACGTGGTAGAATCACGCTGCAGCTATAGGTTGTAGCACGAATGGGTCGGCTCGAACGGGGTAGGACCACGCTCTCACAGAATACCAGCGTAAAATAACAGCTTAATACTACTGTGTTTCGTATGGTGAAGGCAGAGAACCGGAGGACCTTTTTACTCGAAACGAAGCATTCCATCTCAGTCATCAGGGGTGACAACGTATCTGCATTTTGATTCTTAATTGAGGGTAGATGTAGATATCTATAGGCCATAGCATCTACTTACCATCAGGTGGACTGTGTGCTCGTTTGTTACACTTATTCCATAACAAAAAAATAGTCAAATCAAAGTCAAGTTTAAGATTTACTTGCACTATTATCAGTTGCAGACGTTTCGCAGTAGCTTGCGTAATAATGAAGTCAAAGACGAAATTTTCTATTCAATTTAGGCTTGTTTACATCTGTTATGAACTGTGGGGGTTTGTAACTAGCACAGCAGTGATGAAATCTACACTTGTTCGCAAAAACAAGACGTGTTTTCCGTGGTAGCCACACTGCAGATATGCTATGCTAGCTATGCGGTGCAGTACAAATGAGTCGGCTCGACAACTACATCTATCCTCGAGTAAGAATCAAAATGTAAATGCGTTGTCACCCCTGTGGACTAAGTTACCTCGCTCATCAAACGAAACACAGCAATATTAAGCTTCTGTTTTAAGCTTGTGTTATGTGAGAGCGTGGTCCTTCCCCGGTACAAACTGACCCATTTGTAGTGTTCGTGTATAGTAGGTGGCTACAGTGATCGTACAAGAACGTGCGGATTTCAGCGCGTCAAGTGATTGCGGGGAGGGTTCACATAGAGCCAAATCAACACAGTACTCTCACCTTCGTGAAGTCTATACTCCGCACCAGCGCATTAATCTCCTCATCGTAGTAGTCGTGGGAGAAGACCAGCAGAGTCCTGTCAATGTCCCTCGCTTGGGCAAGGGACACGATTAGGTGACGCAGGTACGTAAGTCTAGTGTGAACCTGGGAACGGAACAAAATAAATTAAATTAATAACAGGGGAGCCGGCGCATTGCTGCTCCTGTATTATTGTTTAATTAATGGTTTGAAGTAGAATTGATACATATAATTTAAAATTAAAATTTTTGTACAACCGACTTCAATATAAATTATTAAGAATAACTCAAAAACTATTTGTCAGACATTGATCAAATTTATATGGGACCACACGAGAAGCACCAGCTTTAAAATAAAAAAAAGTTATGACGTAACACACATAAAAAAGAACATACAGTCGATTTGAGTACCTACTCCTTTTTGAAGTCAGTAGAAAAGTGGTGCGATTTTGTGTGATGAATGTCTGCGCTTGTGAACTATTAGTGGAAAGGACTAAACGATTACTGCGATTGGTGTTATGAACCTCGAGTTATTATGTCTGCTTAGGCGCCTTGAGATACTATCGTAATCAACTGTCTGCTAGCTCAAGTTGTCCCGTTGCGTGTGTTGCTCTATCTTATTATTTGACACCGGCAAAAGGACTACCGTACGAATCCATTACTAAGTAAAAAAATCTATGATATATTTATATTTACATGACTGTCAAACTGTCAACGTCAACAGTCAGTATATTATTGTTTTATATTGCAAATATTTTATACACATATTTTATATTTTACATATTTTTTTATATAATGGAAGAAACACGCCAAGATGGAGAGGTAATACAGACAACGTTTGGTTAGCAATTTTAGTTTTATTTATAATTTTGTCTGGACGTTAAAATTATATTCTTTTGGTAATAAAATGGCGACAGCTCTATAGCGCAGTGGCTTAAATGTTCGGATCACGCACGGAACAAGTGTTTAAATGGTCTACAAATACTTGTTCTAAATCTGGATGTTGATCCTTGTGTGTAAACTTGTGTGTCCACTACGTCCACATTTTTTTAAACTGGCTTTACGGCTCTGGGTTCTAGCCCTTCTGAGCCTGATTGTATACCTCCACAATACACGAGAAAATAAAGGGTAGTGGGGATAACGTTATAAAAAAATATTGTACGTGTAATTATGTACACACGTACGAAATGAAACGTCTTTTACATAAGTAGGTTAAATAATATACTCATGCAGCCCCGGCAGTAAAACGTTACAAGAAAACGAGACTTTTTTGATTTGTAATACCGTACTCAATTTCTCCACTCCGTCGTTATAGAAGTTTCACTTCGATAATGTATTTCGATTACAACTGGACATCGTACGCGCGAACTACATCATACATCTGTACAGTTTATTGGCGGTGTAAGAATATCTACTACCCCATATCCCGTGGGTGTCGTAAGAGATGACAGAGTGAAGCAAACCAGGAGGAGGGCAGCAGCGTCTTCTTAATAACAACTAAAAATAAAACTGTAAACTGCGGTTGCCAACCAGCTTGCCAAGCGCGTCAACTACGATAAAATTCCCCCCTATGATCCAATCTATGGAGAAGGCCCTATATTCAGCAGTGGACTTTAATAGGCCGTAATGGATGTATGTACAGAAGATAATCTCTACTGGGAGTACATGACCTACTGAGAGGTGAAATTATTAAATCAACAGTAACATTATAGCTATAGCAAATAACCCCCATGAGACAATCTATGGGGGAGGCCTATGTTCAGCAGTGGACTTTAATAGGCTGTAATGGATGTATATATACAAGATAATCTACCAGGAGCACATGACCCACTGACAGGTAAAATTATTAAATCAACAGTAACATTACAATTATGGTAAATATTCCCGCTATGAAGCAATCTATGGGGGAGGCCTATGTTCAGCAGTGGACTTTTTTATATGCTGTAATGGACGGATGTATAGAAGATAATCTACCAGGAGCACATGACCCACTGAGAGGTAAAATTATTAAATCAACAGTAACATTACAACTATGGTAAACATTCCCGCTATGAAGCAATCTATGGGGGAGGCCTAAGTTCAGCAGTGGACTTTTTTATATGCTGTAATGGATGGATGTATAGAAGATAATCTACCAGGAGCACATGACCCACTGAGAGGTGAAATTATTAAATCAACAGTAACATTACAACTATGGTAAACATTCCCGCTATGAAGCAATCTATGGGGGAGGCCTATGTTCAGCAGTGGACTTTTTTATATGCTGTAATGGATGGATGTATAGAAGATAATCTACCAGGAGCACATGACCCACTGAGAGGTGAAATTATTAAATCAACAGTAACATTACAACTATGGTAAACATTCCCGCTATGAAGCAATCTACAGGGGAGGCCTAAGTTCAAGTGGACGTTTTTATATGCTGTAATGGATGGATGTATAGAAGATAATCTACCAGAAGCACATGACCCACTGAGAGGTGAAATTATTAAATCAACAGTAACATTACAACTATGGTAAACATTCCCGCTATGAAGCAATCTATGGGGGAGGCCTAAGTTCAGCAATGGACTTTTTTATATGCTGTAATGGATGGATGTATAGAAGATAATCTACCAGGAGCACGCGACCCACTAGGAGGTGAAATTATTAAATCAACAGTAACATTATAGCTATTGCAAATAACTCCTCTATGAGGCAATCTATAGGGGAGGCCTATGTTAAGCACGCGATGGTTTAGCCACCATTTTTTTTAGCTAAGCATAGTTAAAAGCTCTCTTCGGGAATAACAGGCGTGATATATTTGTATAAATGAATATACTTGAATGACTGAAACTTTTTTATGTTCTTATAGTCTTAAAAAAAATGTTTTCGAGATATTATTTGTTTATTTGTTTTTGAAATAAATCGCATTAAAAATATCGGCGGTGATCGAATCCGGGCTGTTCGCGTACTGTGAAATTTACAGCGACCGGTTAGACCCTGAGTTACCAACTCGTTTTGAACGGAGTCACATAATCGTCACTAATTGGTTTCATTTCTTCCAGAAGAAACAAACGGCAAGGAATTCGACTCGAAAAGACAACATAGTTATACCGCGTCGTATCCCCTCCACGATTGCACCGGAACGGAAGCCGATTTTTATAACTCCCGACAAAACCACGTGCGCTGAATGTGGATGCTTCCCGAAGGAAGATCCTTATGTCAAGAACAAGTGAGTAGAGACGATATCTTTCTGGTTCTTCCCAGGACAGAGGTTTTTTTCGAACCAGTGGTAATTAAACAAAAGAGTGACTTTCAATAAGTATTATTTATAATCTATATTGAATAAAAAAGTTTCTGTTTCTGTTTCTATCTTTTCGGCCTATGAGGTCCTTATTTTGATGATTTGTTATGTTCAAGCAAATACTACACATTATACGAAACTAGTTTTTACTGATTATAGTAATGACTATCTGATACCAGCGACTCCGTCCGCGTTGCTTGATATATCAAGAAAACACACATCACTGAACACGTAGTGCTTATAAAAATCTTTGTTTCTTAAAACTTTAATAACTTTATATTAAATGAAGATATCGCATTAATTGTTTTTTAGATAAGGGCCAAGTGTCTAAGAAATAAAACTTAGAAAACCTATTTGAAATCTATCCAGTAGTATTTCCGTGATGCGCGCACAACTGCAGACCTCTATAATTCTATTTATATAGATAACTATTAACAAAAAAACCATGCGTGAGTGTCGTGGAACACTCGGTTGGGACGAAGTTCCTTACTATTTATAAATGTATTACTAGCGTCCATTAAAATGAAGCGTCATTTAAAATAAAATACACTATGACACAAGGGTTAGTGAGGAAAAAATCTTACACTTTTTGTCGCCTAGCTCCCTCCCATCCACCAAACCGGTACCGTTCGATAAGGAACTTCATTCCAAAAAGTAAAAGCTGACTTAAGCTAATTTGAATGACAGGGTGAGAAGTTGTGTGATAAGAGAAAAGTGTCGTTTGCAACCAGGTTTGTGACCAGAACTCGGTGGTTCCTTCGTTGGACTTTTTCGATGGTTTGGTCATGTAGAAAGAATGAACGAGGAAGGGGTGACAAAGCAAATGTGTGTTGCAGAAGTGAACGGCAGAGTCGGGACGGGACGCCCTAGACGAAGGTTTATCGACCAAATTGACGATATATTGAAGATAGGTCAGATTAGCAGTACCCTTAACCGACGAGCATGTATGCGTAGATATATGGATGTAAAGGAGGCGAGAGAGGTATGTCAGGATCGTGTCAAATGGAAGTACATATTCTCTGCCTACCGCTCTGGGTGACAGGCGTGAGTGTTTACTTTTTTGTTAAAAGTTTACGTTTAAAAGCTGACTTCAAAGTACTAAAAACAGAAGGTACGTTTTTATCACACTTAGGAATGGATTTTTTCTCTACGTTTATATGGATCACTCTTGAAATATAATCTAATTAATAAAAAAAGAACCTTCAAAATCGGATCTCAATTGGCGAAGATATCGCGTAACATGTACACAACAAAAAAAAACAGTCGAAATTGTGCCTCCACTTTCTTTCAAGTTGACTTAAAACGAGTTTCATTCAATCTTTAACGTGATTAAACATTTATACGCGGTAGAACCACGACGAGCGCGAGTTCAACTTAATCGAGTAAGGATCACGTCTCCAAAAATAACCGCGTGAAATAGCAGCTCCAGCTTAATGCTGCTGTGTTTCGTATGGTGAGTGTAGAGAACCGGAGACCTTTTTTTTTTTACTGGAAACGAGGTATTCCATCTTAGTCCTCAGAGGTGACAACGCGTCTGCATTTTGATTCTTAATCGAGAAAAGATTTAGGTGTCTATGGGCCACAGCATCCATTTATATCCGGTGGAGTGTATGTTCGTTTGTCATCCTTATTTTGTAAAAAAAAAACTAAGCAATCCCTTTAGTGTGTGAATTTCTGACAGCAAATTCGTGGAGACCCCGCCCAGCGTTTAGTTGTCAGATGGAGGAAAGTGGAGGAAGGAAATAGGATGGTGATGGAGAAATACAATTCTAATTTTATCAATTTCAGAAAACTAATTCCATGTTTAAAGTCGCCATTAACTTTATACGAGATATCAGCCG